CATCTCTGGGAGGCTATTCTGACATCCTGCAAAGAAATTCCAGCAGAAACCATCCAAACACTGACAACTTCCATGGATGCAAGAATTGTGAAGCTCCTATCCAATAAGGGGTCCTATGTCAAAATGTAATTTGGCCTGTTAAGATATTTTTGATTGAAAGAGCTTTTGATTTCAGCAAATATAACCTGCAAATGCTTGCTGTTTAACTAATGACCATTTTCAGTTGTTTACAACAGTAAAATATTTTGAAACTCTATTGTGCGTAATAATGTGGAACAGTGCATTTTAAGATTTAGATAAAAAAAAAAAAAAAACGTTATGATTTGGAGGTTTGTTTGAAAACAGTCGAGTTATACTCTAATGCTTGATGACTTGAAAATTATGAGAACTATCATTTTTATAGATTATTTAGGAAAAAGAGAGAAAAATTACATTTGCATAATAATGTAGAATGCACTGTAAATAAAGCAAAACATGGATATTATTTTAACCTCTTTAATTTAATAAATCCATTTTTCTTTACTGTACAAAATGTAGTGATGTGATATATTGGCCATATCACCCAGTCCATCATCAAGATGGTAGGTTAACATACACTCACTGAGAGCTTTATTAGGAACACTACAGTAATACTGGGTAGGGCCTCCCTTTGCTCTCAAAACAGTCTCAATTCTTCGTGGCACGGATTCCACAAGATGTTGGAAACATTCCTTTGAGATTCTGGTCCGTGTTGTCATGACTGCATCACACAATTCCTGCACATTTTTCAGGTGCACATTCATGCTGTGAATCTCCCGCTCTACCACATCCCAAAGATGTTCTATTGGATTCAGATCCGGTGACTGGGAAGGCCACTGAAGAACACCGATCTCATTGCCATGTTCATGAAATTAGTTTGAGACGACTTTTGCTTTGTGACATGGTGCATTATCATGCTGGAGGTAGCCATTAGAAGATGGTAAATTGTGGCTATGAAGGGATGCACATGGTCAGCAACAATACTCAAATACGCTGTGGCATTCAAGTGATGATTGATTGGTATTAACGGGCCCAAAGTGTGCCAAGAAAACATTCCCCACACCATTACACCACCTCCACCAGCCTGGACTGTTGACACAAGGCACGTTGGGTCCATGGATTCATGCTGTTGGCTCCAAATTCTGACTCTACCATCTGTGAGCCTCAGCAGAAATCGAGATTCATCAGACCAGGCTACGTTTTTCCAGTCTTCACCTGTCCAGTTGTGGTGAGCCTGTGCCCACTGCTGCCTCAGCTTTCTGTTCTTGGCTGACAGAATTGGAACCAGACATGCTCTTCTGCTGTTGTATCCCATCTGCCTCAAGGTTTCATGTGTTGTGCATTCTGAGATGCTTTTCTGCATACCACAATTGTACACAGTGGTTATCTGAGCTACTATAGACCTTCTGTCAGCTTGAACCAGTCTGGCCATTCTCCACTGAGCTCTCTCATCAACAAGGTGTTT